ACCGCAGGCCGACGCTCTGACTGCTGAGCCAAACTGGCCAGGGCCAAAGATGGCACATTTTAAATCCCTTCTCTGTCACTGTAATTCTTCTTGTGGCCCATCTTTTCACCAGTGTCTCAGTCTTCTGAGAGCTTTACTTTCTTCAAAATGAATATCAAGAATTTTCTGTTAAGTATTTTTTTCAGCGTTTTGCTATAACATTGAGCATTTCTGGCTGTGTTCTCAACTGTCCTTGAAGAATTATGCCTGACTTCTAATCTTATTGCCCATAAAGCTGTTACTGAGCTCAGATCTCGCCTCTGATGACCTGCCCTATGGAAACGAACTTTCCATGAGCTTTGCCGCCCAGAGAATGGCAGTGCACCAATCCTGCCCTCTGGGGAATTTTTCTTGCCATTTGATATTCAATCTTATATGGGAGAAGAGAGTGTTGATGGAATATTTCCAGTTACCGAATCTGATACTTATACCTTGTCCAAGCACAGACTCCAATCTGGGTGTGACCCTTGCTACCAAGACTCTGTTAGTCTCCCAGAGAATGCATGGACTGTCATAACATTTTGGTCATATTTCCCTTCATTGTGCCATTATGTAGATAGTACCAAATTTGGTTACCACTTAAAAAAAATTTTTTTTTCTTTATTGATTTTAGAGAGAAAGGAAGAGAGAGGGAGAGAGAGATAGAAGCATTGATGAGATTAGCTGCCTCCTGCATGCCCCCCACTGGGGATTGGGCCCATAACCTGGACATGTGCCCTGACCTGAAATTGAACCGGTGACCTCTTGGTACATGGGTCAACACTCAACCACTGAGCCACACCAGCCAGGTGGTTACCACTTTTAACTTGATGCCCTTGATGAGGCGCTCGGAGGGGAACCTGGCTTGTCTTGGGTACTGTGATGCCAGAGCCTTGAGTACCCAGTCACAGGGAAACATCCAACAAAAGGAAATGTGAAAGAACTCACTAAAGCTTTGTGTCATAAAATCAATAATACATTAAAATATATACCAAACTATAAATCAAATTTTTCGACCTGTGTACAAACTAGCACACTTTAACCAACACCCTTTTATGTTTCTCCTTTTGTCTATATTCCTGATTGATTTTTATGGGTTTATTTTAAGAAGGGTGGAGTCTGTTTCTAGCTCCTCATAAATTTTAACTTTTCAGCTGTCCTTCATTGCTTGTCATGATTTAATTACTAATTACAAGTATCTCTTAAGTCACATCTGTTCATAGAGCTCTTTTCTGAGCCTTAAAATCATATTGAGCCCTCTAAGTTATGTTCTATATTCTTTAAAAAAAAAAAAAAACCTCTTAGATTATAATGGGAAGATTAGACACATGAAAAAAAACTTACCTAAGAGAAATAATTTAAGGATATAAGGAACATATCAGAAAGAAAATACTCAATGGAAAGAATTAATAGGGGTCTTAAAATTGCTGTTCTTGTAGGTCTCCCTGTTCATGTATTTATCCTACATGTGCTCAGAGCAGTCTATAGTATCATTAGTCTGCTAATACTAATTTTCCAAGGGTTCTGGAAAGTAATTTAGCAGCAGGAATTATTCTCACCAAATATAGAAGTGAACTAAGTCACAAAAGGACTTACTTGTACAAGGTCTTATGACAATGATAGCAACAATATTTAGATGTCCTGGCTCCTAGTTAGTTATTTACTAAAAATAAGTTGAGCCCTGGCCGGTTTGGCTCAGCAGTTAGAGAGCCAGCTTGTGGTCCAGAGAGACCCGGGTTCGGTTCCTGCCAGGGGCGCGTACCTCAGTTGCAGTTTGTCCCCGGCCCTGGTTGGTCGTGTGGGTGGCAGCCACTTGATGTGTCCCGTTCACGTCGATGTTTCTCTCTCTATTCCTCTCTCTCCCTCCCACTCTATCTGAACAAAAAATAGAAAAGTGTCCTCGGATGAGGATAAAAAAATAAAATAAAATAGAATAGAATAAAAATAAGTTGATTTCTAGGGAGGTTTAGCTACATGTTTCTTTGTTATCTTAGTATACGTTATTAGTATACATTAGAATACTAATATATATGTTAGTACAAGAAGTCCTTAGTTAACATCATTGATAGGGTTAATGCCTATGACATCTCATCAATGTTACCATGAAATAACGTTGAAGAAACGATGTTATTTGAGGACTTGCTGTATGTCTTATCTATGAGTATACATATTTCTTCCCTCTGCAAAGCTTTTTTAAAAAATTCCTCACCTGAGAATATTTTTCTATTTATCATCAGACAGAGTGGGAGGGAGGGAGAGAGAGACAGACAGAGAGAAACATCAATGTGGTAGAGCCACATCGACTGGTTGCCTCCTGCTTGACCCAACCAGGGCCGGGGACAAACTACAACCGAATGTGCCCTTGACTGGATTTGAACCCGCGATTCATAGGTCCGCCGATGTTCTAACCTCCGAGCCAAACTGGCCAGGGCCCTTCTGCAAAGCTTTAAGTGTGCAAAATAAACTCTAGGATATGATCACTGAAGATGTAAGAGTCAAGAGTTACCAAGAAGAAAACTGTAAACAAACAAACAAAACATAACAAAAGCCATGCACAAAATGTTGAAGAAAACTAGCAAAGTTTTACTCTAAATCAGTGCCTTTTAAACTTTTAAAACCAGGATTCACAGTAGGAGATACATTTGATCTCAAATTGCTTATCCCCACTATGTGTAATGCACCTTTGATGCTATTTTTATTTTTAAAAATTCTGGTCAGGACCCAATAAACTGGTCAAAATTTATCCTCACCCGAGGACATTTTTCCATTTTTTGTTCAGGTAGAGTGGGAGGGAGAGAGAGGAACAGAGAGAGAGAGAGAGAAACATCGATGTGAAGGGACACATTGAGTGGCTGCCACCCGCACAGGGCCAGGGACAAACTGCAACCGAGGTATGCGCCCTTAGCGGGAACCGAACCCGGGTCTCTCAGGACCGCAGGCCGACGCTCTAACCGCTGAGCCAAACCGGCCGGGGCAAACTGGTCAAAATTTATAGTTAGAAAATGACTGCTTAAAATTGTCCACAGTTACCAGAATAAGAAGAAGGTGAAAGAGGAGGTGGAGAAGAAAATGATGACATAGGCTAGTCCAAATCAAGTTTAGTAAGAGATATTATTTAACATGATCCTTTTTTTTCCTTTGCTGACAAATATGTACGTTTTCTTCCAAAGAAACCTAGTGCACTTGAATTCATATTTTATTATAAGACTCACCTTGGAATGTAGAACATTTTGTTTACCAGATATAAATCATACAAGAAACATCTTTTGTGAATTTTATACCCTATTTTTAAAACAAAGGAAATTATACAACTGGTATTCTAATTCTATATTTTAAAAAGAAACTTTTCAAAAGAAGAAGATATATGTGCTCAACGTTGCATATTTGTAGGACTCTGAAGAGTTTTTACTTAGGTTGCTTGTTCTTGATTCAAAGTAATAGTCCAAAAGCAAAGAGGTATTTTTTTAATCAACTAGTGTGAATTTTAAATAGCAAATTTCTGCTTTCATAGATAAATCATTTTGATCAAATTCATCTGTTCCTCTTCACATGGTCTATCACAAGTGGGCTGCAGCTGGCTGCCTTACAAACTGGAGTTTGGATTCTATTAACAACTCCAATGAAAGATTCCTCTCTAGTGTCTGGGCTCCTTCGTCGCTGCACACGCTGAACATGGCTTTAGCACAATTGCTTAAAGCTCCTTCAATTAGAAATTGCAAGATAGCTGTCATCAAACGTATGTAATGTGGATCAGCCAAGCATCTGGCAGAATTCGTACGTGCAGTAGAGTAAATACCTACAATGTTTTCTTGTCTTGGAGCAAATACATTGCCTTTATAGCTAATAGAAAAACTATAAGTGTTTCCATTTTCCTGGTTTTTAAATGCACATGTAACAAAGCAAATCTCAAAATAAAATGCATGTTTAAAAAAACACACACTGCAATTAGAACACATAAAATAGGTTCATTTTCATCACGGTGAAACTGTAGTATTACATTTAAGACATAAAATATAGAAATCACAAGAGATTGATAGCTTTTGAATAAGTTGCATAGTTGCTTAACAGAATGAATTTTGCTGTCTGGAAAGCCGATTTAAAATTCACTGTAGCCCTGGCCGGTTTGGCTCAGCAGTTAGAGCGTCAGCCCGCGGACCAGAGAGACCCGGGTTCAGTTCCTGCTGAGGGCACGTACCTCGGTTGCAATTTGTCCTCGGCTCCAGTTGGGGTCATGTGTGTGGCACCAGTTGATGTGTCTCTCTCACATCCATGTTTCTCGCTCTCTTCCCCCCGGCCCCCGCTCTATCTGAGGATAAATGCAAAAATGTCCTCAGGTGAGGATAAAAATAAAAAATAAAAAAAATTCACTCTACTTCCAAGCAATATTGTATCATGTAGTAGAATGAATATAAAAGGTATATAAGGCCTGGGATTTGGTCTCAGCCATTGACTGATAGTGTAACTTTGGGTTATTTGCTTAACCTTCTTAGGCCTCAAATTCCTAATTTCAGAAATAATGATATTAAACCACATGGTTTCTAAGTTCTGTGACATGTTGGGAATAGTTAGGTTTAAGATAGTTATCTAGTATATAAATGTTAACAAACAGTAATTATCTACTTTTTTCTTTCCATATTAATTAGTGGGCATCTCTCATCATGTAGGTAGAAAATAAAACAGTAACTTTGCTTGAATGTAAGAGAATTTTAAAAATCTCTGATCTACTTAGAAACTAACAGAAAAGAGGTTTAAACAAAGTCTATTCTGGTTATCTAGGCAACGTTTGTAATCATTATACTTACAGAATAAATCATATAGAAAAACATTAGCAAAGACTGGAGAGAATAATAAGATAAAACACAATAATAATAATAAGATGTGCTCATCTATCCATATCAGTGAGAAAAGCAATGTGGTTTTTTTTGCAATGTGTTTTTATGTAATTGAATTGAACAAAAATTATACTAGCTTATGAATACTAGGGCTACCAGAGAGAGAGAATGGTGACCATCTGGAGCTAAGAAGTTTCTTCGTCATGTAATCACCGTGATGACATCATTCACAAGTGGCAGAACATAGGAAAGCCTTTATCTTTTACTCCACAAGGTGGTATGTTTTATGTATAAACTATTTGGGGTAGTATTTTTACTCTGAATCTAATGAAGTGCTTTTTAAATGGTTTTCTTCTTTTTGCCTTGTTAGTACATCACTCAGAATCCTGCCTCTGGGTCTAACAAATTGCCTGATGCCAAAGTAGATACATGTACTTGTTCCCAAATTGATAACATATGCCAAGATTTTCTGTATTGCCCTCAATAAACACACTTCTGGGGGTATCCTTGACCCTGATCTCAATGAGAACTCCAAAAGTGTTCCCTCTCAGCAAGAGGATCAGCTCCCCTGTGCTTTTCCCTGTGGTTATGACTTTAAAAATTAAAGAGACTTCAGAAGAATAATATGATTCTTTACCTATGAACATTATTTGCATATAGTATAGGATTGAATGAAGTTGTGAAATGTTAGAAGTTATTTAAAACAAAAATTGAAGAATTGTTGGCAATAAAGTTCACCAATTTTAACCTAAAAATCTACTTAAAGCCTTTCCAAGTACCTAGGATGGTGCCTTTTCCAAAATGACTTCTTCAATCGAACCCTCTCAAATACTCTCAAATGAATTTGAGATCCCAAGTAAGAGGTGTTTGATCTCTGATTCTTTATGTTCGCTTCCTATATCTTTGTTTCAGAAACATCCATAAACAACATCAGTGGTAAGGTCCAGGTGTGTGTATAAACTGTAGTATATACTTAGAGTACATTGGCCATTTATTCATTCATTTATTCATTCTCTCATTTGTCAAATATTTATTAAATGCCTTCATTGTTCCAGGCATTGTGTTAAGGATTGAGGATACAAACTGGGTGAATTCTCTCTTGAGAGTCATATTATAGTAATGATAGCATTAAACCTACTACTATTCAGCAAGATAAATAAGACTTTGTAATTTTTATTTTAAAAATCTTTATTTCTAATGATCTTCTGTATTTTGTCTATCATTGGTTTGAAATTATTGTTTTATTTATCTTTTGCTTACCTGTCTTCAATATACTTTAAGCTAAGAGTGACTTATGGTTTAAACATCACATCTTGCCAGAGGAAAAATATCGATAAATGCATTTAAACATTTTATGAATTTTTAGTGGCTCCTAATTGTCATTTTACTCTAATCGTTGCTTTAAATATTTTAGATTCTCATCACATGCTTGGGTCCTAGAGTGCTAGAAAAAAATGGAGGGAAGTAGTCTCTGCCAGTAGATTGGAACTTGACTGTTATTTATTTAGAGGGGATTATAATAGGTATGAACTCAGAGATCAGGAAACAGTACACATTGCAAAGGCAAATATAATTATTAATCGGACACATAATAGAAGGTTTAACTGTGTATACAACAGAAACGAGTATTCGCTTTCTACCCTAGGAGGGGTTGGTTGTCTTCTTAAAGAGTGTCCTTGTACAAACGTAAAGCAAAGCCAGTGATCAAATGCTTTTCTAACTAGAGATTATCTCACGTGTTTACCTTTAATGGTCTTTCTACTCAGGGCATAACAAATGGCATGTTAAAATGAAAACACATTCTGTACACTGAGAGAAGATGCTGCTGCTAAATACTAAGGTAATTCTTATGCAAACGAACAATGTCTCTTTCTCCACTCAAATGGAGTCATCACAATGTTCAGTATTATGCTTAAGCCAATAAAAGGAAGAAAGAATAAAATATTCAGAAGTAAAACATGCCCATACTTACACAGCTTCAAGTTAGAAATGTTTGGTGAGTTGCTCCCTGCTGCAATATTGACTATGTGATTTCTGAAGTGCTGCCCAAGCCTTAACCAGTTGATTCCATAACACTTTTTAAAGTCTGCTCCTGTTGTCACCGAGATTTCTAAGGCAAAGAAAGAAGAGATCGTTTCAATAAATGTACTTAGGGTTGGAGGGACCACAGCACATTCATCACACCCCTAAGTAAGTCCTGTTTTGGAAAGAAAATATGTTGGACATGATTATGTGCCAAAGTAGACAATACGTGCTCTAGATCAGAGTAGAGAGGTAGAAAACTAGACCTATAGTTGATCCTAGAGCAAAGGGCTATTTTGCTCCTTGGGAATAGGGGCATTAAAACACCATGATTTTGTCTTACACCCTAACTACTTCAGTAGTTTGAGACCAGGGAAGGTAATTGCCCTTCCTCAGCTAACTCTGAACACATATGGAACATACTACCTTTACAGTCAAAGGCAGTTACGTTAGCATCCAAGATGGGTGCAACCCTGCTTGTCAAATTTTCCCAAAGCAAGAAATAATAAAAACTAGCCATTCCCCAAGGAGCAGATCTTGAAATTAGAAAAGTGACTGGAAGTTTGGAGGAAAAAAGAAAGCCAGGCAACACTGCAATTCCCTACCTGAGCTCTCCCCCTTGCTACCGCCTTCAAAATAAAAATAAATTAACTCATCGTGAGATTTCTAAATGCATTCTTTTAACATATGGTAAGGAGTGTAAACATACTGGATTTATTTTAGGAGAATAAGTAACCTGATTGATTTGAACAGTACCTCGGAATTTATTTAGTAATGTCAGAAGTCACAACTTCTTTTTATCACTTTGGATTCACAAAATTGCATCAGAGGAAGATATATGCTTGAGTGTGATTGCTCCCAGACATGCATTTTTCCTCCATCAAGGATCTAAAATAATAAGCTAAAAAGCCAACTTGCATTTGTGTGGGTTTTCGTGGCATTCATCCAGAGTGATTTCCCACCGAATGTTATGCCAAACCTGTGAAACTATAAGGATGTGTCTTGACAACAGTAATTTTCTCCCGGGCGTCTAAAATTTGGAACCTTCTGTTGATGTAACTGTTCTCCAAATTTAACTGGCTACTTTGCATTGCTTTTGCGACGGGAGAGTAGGGGCTGAATAGGCCAGAATGGCAATAAGCATATACAAAATTAAATGATGGTGAGAAATTGCTTGATAATAGGAAAGTTCTTGTACCAGAGATCCTGGTATTCTTACACTTTGAAATGAGCAACGCAAAACTCAAAACACAGTTGAACTGAATGTAGAGGAAGTATAGACTGGAATGAAGTCCAGTGCTGCCAAGGATGAAGTCTTCATTCTGTCTCGGGAGGAAGAGTCCCTCCATGCACGTGCGTCCCCGTGCTCACGGGCAGCAGGAGACACTGTTGTAGCGCTGTCTTCTTCCCAACCTGAGGGCCTGAGGATGAACTCAGAGATCATCTGCTTGTGAATATGGGGAAAAGAACCCATTTTTACTGCAAGGATTTAATGTGATGCTGATGGTAAGTGACATGATCACTGAAAACAGATGCCACATGGAGTCTCATTGATTGATGCGCAAATCTCTGACAGCAGAAACCCAGGTTGTCAGCTCGCCTTCGTGGTCGTCCTCCTGAGGTCTAGTCGGGAGAGGATCCTCTTCATTGCCAATGTCGGGACATGGCAGAAATGAAAGGTTCTTTTCTCTGGCCTTTTTATTCCCAAAGTGTAAGCAACAAAATCCCCTGGAACAAATCGTCTTCCTTAAAGGAAGAGCGTTTTCATTTGAAAGTTCATTAGAGGCTCTTTTCTTGTTTAAAACAACGCTCTGTTACCCTTTTAGTTGGTTGCTAGCACCTTTCAAGCGTTTGGCATCCTTCCAGATCGATGTGTGACAATTTGGGGTAAGTTGGGATTTTGTGAAATGAGGAGTTACGGCCCCTTGTGCTTTGGTGTGAGATTGGATGCTGTCCTAGTACAAAGAGAAAACATCTTGACCATGTGCAGGAAGAGAGGGACTGACTTGAATTAAGAGACCGCTCAGGAAGCAGCCAGAGGAGCCGCCGCACCTGAACTAGTTTGGGAGACATGTGCAGCTCGGTTCTAGTTGGTGCAGTCTGATCAAGCAAATCAAAGGCATGGGGTACTTATAAGCTCTGGAGTGAATGGTATTCTTTAGAATCTCAACAAACTATATATTATGTTAGATGTTAATCGTACGTGATTCTGTAAAGAAAAGCACAAGGCAACAACCCGAGAAATGACGGCATTGGATGATGTGAGGTAGTGAAAAGGCATCCGGACCCAAAGCCTATAAATACTTCATTCCGATGGTAGATTCTAATGATATTTTCTGAATTAGTTTTTGACTGGTTGACTCATGTTATGTTTAATCATAACCTCTATTAAAGACTTTTAAACTATAAAAGCAGTACATAGTTTTATATAAAAATTGGATAAGAAAATCCACCAAAATTTTTCTACCCAAAGGCAACCAATATATTCTTCTATGTATGGGTTTTTATATTTTTAAAAATATACAATCGATGACTTTTATATATTTTGCTTTTTAAACTTAACATTGTATCACATTTAAATGTTTTTGTTTTTGTTTTTGTGTCTATTCTGAATTTCCTTTTATTAGCTATAATGATAATCATCAAATGAGTATACGATGGTGTTCTTAACCATTGCGTCTTGGTATTTATCACTTCTTTTCATGATAACTAATGCTGTAATGAACATTTCTCTGCAAAATTGTATCTCTGGATCTTGGTTTATATTTATATAATTGGTTCCCAGATACAGAATTATTAAGTTAGACTATAAAAGCTTTTTAAAGGCTTTTGATAGAAATTGTGAAATTGTTTTCCAGAATGGTTGTTTCAATTTACATCCTCTCTAGCAGAGTGTGACAGTATTCATTTCATGGCTCATTCAAGTGGCTGATTTTTAAACTCTTGGGATTTCAGGAGGCAGGCTCAGTGACATTTGGAAAGAGATGTGATTGCTGTCTGACCCTTTCCTTCACCTCCCTTAAACTCCCCATGTACAATTTTCTTTATTATGAGGTGACTTGCAAAATGTCTCACAAAGCTGTTGTGTGAAAAACAGTAAAAATAAATGAAAAAAATAGCTCATAATTGAAAAATAAGCTCCTGCTATGCATGGAATTACTCTACATACAGATTTTTTTAAAACTGGGAACACCTAACACATTTTGTTTAGGGAATTGAGAGGCCCATCCATCCTCCGGTTTACTCCTCCCCCCCACGGTGTGACCCCGCACAGATTACGTACCCTCTTTGCGTCTCTGTTCCTTCATCAAGGAAGGCAGCGGCTTTAACCAGATTATCTCTAAAGTGCTTCTGACTCTAAGATTCTTTGATACTATTAAAACCATTTTCCCCCTCAGAAAAGAATGACCTTCTAACTCCTCCTTCTTTCAAAATCCAAATGGAAAGTGCCTGCTATATTTATTTCCAAAAACTTCCAGTGAGTTCAAATCTATATGGCTATACTGGGTTAACTTTCATGTTTCTATCTAGATTTACTTTAAAGAGATATCATGACAAGAGCATAACTTTTGCTTGATCCTTTTGTCAGTTAAACAAAAACAGATGAAAGTTGTAACAAAGAATCCTTTAAAAATATAAGTATATGGCAGAATGTGCCAAATTATGCCCTAAGCTTTGCAGTATAATAGTCACTGGTTTCAGTGAGAACTTCCCACACATCTTTGAGATTTAGAATTTGGGCTTTGTAACTATAGCACAGAAGATATCCTACTCCAAACGATAGCATCTGTATCTGAGCTGCAGTGAAAACTTATTTTGCTTATTCCACTTTTGTATATAGGCTTAACTACGATGCTAACAAGGAAAAAATCGTATATTATTTCCTAGGATGATTTTGTTACAGGACATTTGGTTATATATTATTTTAACTATTTTTTATTGAGACATAATTCACATGTCATAAAATTAACCCCTTTAAAGTGTAATTTAGTGGTTTTCAGTATATCCACAGAGATGTACAATCATCACCATAGATTGTATTTTAAAAACAAATGAAAGTATGTAGACAATATAACAACTGTTTACTTCTGTTTAGTGGATTTGGTATTATGTATAGATTTTTTTTCATTCAGGTATTATGTATAGATTTTTTTCATTCAAGACCTTGTTCTGTTGTAAGAATTTAAACTATTCAGAGTTAATAGAACAATTGGCTGTGTTATGGGCACATTTTCAGTTTAATTTGAAATCTACCATCTACCAAATCGTACTTGGAAATCTTTTGTTTACATAATATAAAAAATTAAAAGTGTATGTTTGATGGTTTTGCAATACAATGAAAGATGAATAAGAAGCTGAGAAGAATTCATGTTTCTGAATTTATTTTAAATATTTAGAGTCATTTAAAATTTTTCCTCCCTCTGTTGACTTAGAATTTAAACAGATGATTGTATATCATGCCCAGACAAAAAAACGTCTGAAGGCTATAGAGGGATAATAGTTGTCTTTTCTCTTTAAGCTATGAAAAAACAAAAAAACAAAAAAACCCACAAAAAAGTGCTTGTACTTTGAGAACGCATAGGTATAATTCAAAGTGATAAATAATTATAGCTGAGACATTTATGTTTTATCCTAAGTATTTCATAAGATTGATTGTGGAAGAGTTAACTGGATGTTTCTACTTAAGCCTTTACAATAAGCTTGCTAGTAATCTTTTCTTAACTATTTTATAAATAAGCTGAATAACTCACTCCTGCACTGAATGACTTATTATTTTTCTATATTGTTGAAAGTATTACAGATGCCCCCC